TCGCCTGATAGAACGTTAGCATTGCGGAAGGGAGCAAGGGCTACAAAAATAATCTCAGAACCGCTGTACCATGCGGGAGCCTGCAAGTGCTCGTCTGTCTGCAGTGGGGCATGTCACATCCTGGGCTGAGTTCTTTTTCTTACCCTCCTGAGCACAGGAAGCCCAGCTCCGAGTCCCCCAGCATACAGAACAGCCCAATGGGGCGTTTGATGAACAGGAGAAAGTTGATGAGTCAACTGACAGCGTTTGCACGGGGCCAAGACCGATGTGATTCGAAATGTGTAAAGTGGTTTAATTGCAAATCAGGACTGGGGAAGGATTATTCATCCCTCGCCCCAGACAGCTTGGAAATTGACCCTGTGCTGCTTTCCTAGCCCTGGCGCTTTTCAATAAGCATGATTTAAAAGTAAATTGCCCACTTGAATACAGTAGAAACCACTTAATTGGTACAAGCTGGGTGAGGCCTATTGTTCCAGTGGAGAGGGGATATAATTTTAGCTTTGAATTCTGAAAAGACCTAGAGGGAAATAAATGAATTAAAACAATTCCTCCCTGATTTCCAACTCCATCTCGTTCTCTGGTAATTGCTGTACTGAAAGGCCAGAGCTCAGAAATGTTTATCTCCTGGCCTGAGCATGGAAATGAAAGGGAGCAGAGGGGTTCAGGAACACCTGGGTTCTCATCCCAGTTCTGGCACTAACTGGCTGTGTGACCAAGGGAAGTCACAGAACCTCTCTGTTCCTCAGTCTCCTGACCTGTGCAATGGAGATAATAATCATGAGATGGGGGAGGGGGCGGATCAGGTAAGGTTTCTAAAGCACTTTGGAGAAGACAAGTTCTATATATGCTCTGATACATAGCTATCACACAGCACAGTATGGGGAGGTGAGCAGCCCTCAGTGGTGAAAGAACAGGTTAAGGACTATTTAGAAAAGCTGGACATGCACAATGTCCAAGTCTAATGCATCCGAGGGAGCTGAATGAGTTGGCTGATGTGATTGCAGAGCCATTGGCCATTATCTTTGAAAACTCGTGGTGATTAGGGGAGGTCCCGGATGATTGGAAAAAGGCAAATGTAGTGCCCATTTTTAAAAAAGGGAAGAAGGAGAATCCAGGGAACTACAGACCAGTCAGCCTCACCTCAGTCCCTGAAAAAATCATGGAGCAGGTCCTCAAGGACTCCATTTTGAAGCACTTGGAGGAGAGGAAGGTGATCAGGAACAGTCAACATGGATTTACCAAGGGCAAGTCATGCCTGACCAACCTGATTGCCTTCTATGATGAGATAATTGACTTTGTGGATAAGGGGAAAGTGGTGAACTGAATATATCTTGACTTTAGCAAAGCTTTTGATATGGTCTCCCACAGTATTCTTGCCAGCAAGTTAAAAAAGTATGGATTGGATGAATGGACTATAAGGTGGATAGAAAGCTTGCTAGGTCATCAGGCTCAATGGGTAGTGATCAACGGCTCAATGTCTAGATGGCAGCCGGTATCAAGTGGAATGCCCCAGGGGTTGATTCTGGGGCCGATTTTGTTCAACATCTTGATTAATGATCTGGATGATGGGATGGATTGCACCCTCAGCAAGTTCGTGGACGACACTAAGCTGCAGGGAGAGGTAGATATGCTGGAGGGTAGGAATAGGGTCCCGTGTGACCTAGACAAATAGGAGGATTGGGCCAAAAGAAATCTGATGAGGTTCAACAGGGAGAAGTGCAGAGTCTTGCACTTAGGACGGAAGAATCCCACACACTGCTATAGGCCGGGGACCGAATGGCTAAGTGGCAGTTCTGCAGAAAAGGACCTGGGGATTACAGTGGACGAGAAGCTGGATATGAGGCAACAAGGGCACACTGTTGCCAAGAAGGCTAATGACACATTGGGCTGCATTAGTAGGAGCATTGCCGGCAGATCAAGGGAAGTGATTATTCCCCTCTATTCAGCACTGGCGAGGCCCCATCTGGAGTACTGCGTCCAGTTTTGGGCCCCCCACTACAGGACGGATGTGGACAAATTGGAGAGAGTCCACGGAGGACAACAAAAATTATTAGGGGACTGGGGCACATGGCTTACGAGGAGAGGCTGAGGGAACTGGGCTTATTTAGTCTGCAGAAGAAAAAAGTGAGGGGGGGATTTGATAGTCGCCTTCAACTACCTGAAGGGGGGTTCCAAAGAGGATGGAGCTCGACTGTTCTCAGTGGTGGCACATCACAGAACAAGGAGCCCTGGTGTCAAGTTGCAGTGGGTCTAGGTTGTATATTAAGAAAAACTATTTCACTAGGAGGGTGGTGAAGCACTGGACTGGGTTACCTAGGGAGGTGGTGGAATCTCCATCCTTATTGGTTTTTAAGGCCCAGCTTGACAAAGCCCTGGCTGGGATGATTTATTTGGGGTTGGTCCTGCTTTGATCAGGAGATTGGACTAGTTGACCTCCTGAGGTCTCTTCCAACCCTAATCTTCTATGATTCTATAAAGCTGTCTAGGATTTTGTAATGTACCCACTTCATAATAACATCGTCACGCACACGGAAAACACTGCCAATGTTTCACAAATACGTCTGCAGTTTGAATGTGTACTTTAGAGACAAAGGGGTGCCTGCTTTAGTTCTAATTTAATCAGACTAATTGTGATTAATAAATATGTACCTGCAATGAGTTGTTCTGAGATCTGGAAAGTCTCCCTGTAAGGCTTGAATGGAGCCCAGATACCATGGTGATAAGCCAAATAAAGGGTTGTAATAATGAATGAATCCATGTGACAGACACAGAGTGCATTAAATCAATGGAATGAATGCCAGCTAATGGTATTAAAGAATGTGGCCTGCCCATCGGTGCCCCATTTTCCCCCACCCAGAGCTGTGGGGACAAGAGCAGAGAAAAGGTCCTGGCTTCTAAAGAGTGTCATTGTCAGCAAGGTCTCCATCCCTGAAGCTATTCTGGTTGTTTGTATGATAGCTGAGCCTTGATGCCCCAACTGAGCTCTGGGCCACACAGACACACTGTACATCTCATTGAAGTCAGCCCCAGGCAGGGGTGTAGGGTTGACCTTGACTAGCCACACTGAAGTACAAAGGGCTTGGGCCGCTTGTCTCCCCTGGGATTTGACATGGTGATAGCTATAGCAGGGGCAGCACAGGTGTGGCTTCACCGGGCAGAGTCTGCACCCACTGTTTCCAGGAGTGTTTGCATTAGCCACGCCACTGCCCGCGGCTGCACGACTATTTCTCACTATATCTCACCCAGCTTGTGTACGCGAGCTGGGGAATTCCACCCCCTCGCTCGCAGTGTAGAGGTAGCCTTAGCATGCAGGACCCCCCAACATTTCAGCAGCACTCAGTCCAATTACCTAAAACCCCAGCCAGTGCCATTGGGGGATCCAGGTCACACCATTTTGGAAAAAGGACAGCAGAAAGTTCGGGTGGGTAAGTCACTTCCTTGGCCACGCTTTGTCATGCTGCACCCTGCTGGTTCATCTCACAGGCCACCTTCTCCTCTGATACCCCTTCCTCTGCCCCATGGACTCACAAGCCAGCAGATGAGGTGCTCTTTAGCTGGCACTGAGATAAAGAGATTCCCTTGCAGTATAGAGAAGACAGGACTCAGCTGTGAATGAGAAGGGGATTCTTTAGCGAGGCTGCTGGACACAAGACAGCTCCTGTGGTTCTCTCTGGCCCTTTAGTGTCCTTACACAGGGCCTCCCTATGACCTGGTCACCATTAGGCTCCCATGGGATGAAGTGCTGGATCTTTCACCCAAAAGGGCTTCTTTGCAAAGGAGCTACTCCTCTGCAAAGAGATAAATGTAAGAGCCCAGACTTTCAGCCCCCTCACAGTGACACCGGGCTGCTGCCTGCAGGCACTTCCGGATGCATCAGTGAGTGGCAGCCTGCCTCTAGTGCTCGCAGCTCTTTCAGCCTATGAAACCCAAAGCAATCCACCTGCAGAGTGGAGCATCTGCCTGCAGCCTACTCTAGTTAAACCCCAGGGCGCCAGCAGGTCTTGGAGCTCATCAGGCAGACAGCTCCCCATCTGATCTAATGTGCCTAGGAAACACGTCTCTAATGAATTCTATTACATTGCACTCGGATGTTCTTAGATCACTGGGGATTTTTTTGAATCCTCCAACCCCTTAAGCCTGAACTGCAAAGTTGAACACACTGATGTAGCTTAGTCACGGCTACAGTCACAGCAAGTGTTCTAGCCGCATGCCTCATTCCAGACGGCAGCATGTCCCGCTATGCCAGACCTCTCCCCACTTCATTTGTTACCATGATGTATGAAGAAAAGGAGGACTTGTGGCACCTTAGAGACTAACAAATTTATTAGAGTCTCTAAGGTGCCACAAGTCCTCCTTTTCTTTTTACGGATACAGACTAACACGGCTGCTACTCTGAAACCTGTCATGATGTATTAATTGTGTTTTGGTAGCACAAAAATCCCCCCAGCTGAGATCCAGGCCTCATGGTGCTAGGTGCTGTGCGTATGCTTAGTGAGACACAGTCCCTGCCCTGAAGAGCTTGCGATCTAAACAGACCAGACAGACCAAGGGTGGGTGGAAAGGACGGAGTCTTAGCCTCATTTTATAGATGGAGAACTGAGATCTAAAGAGATTAAAGGCCCCGACTGAGCAAAGCACTTAAGCATAGGTTTAACTCTAAGGACGTGAGTAATCCCATCCCTGTTCAGCAAAGCACTTCTTTTGGGTAAAGTGTATATCCTTCTTTGAAGGCAGAATGGTAGAAACACACTACTCTCAGGAGAGGCAGTATAACCCAGTGGGTAGGGCACTGGACTGGCAGTCCAGAGACTTGGGTGCTATCCTTAGCTCTACCACTGACCTTGGGCAAATCTCTTTCCCCCCCTCTTTGCCCTTTGTCTCCTCTTATTATGTGTCCGTACAGTGCCCAGTGCAATGGGGCACCAATCTTGATTGGGGCTTTTGGATGCTTCTATAATGCCAGTAATAAGATTCTTGCAAAAGAAGAACACAGCCCTGGGTTCATTCCAAAAACATTTTTATTAGGTGCTTAAAATAGAATCTGGCACACAATGTTCTCAACTGGATTTGTCAAGAAGCTAAGTTGCATATGAAATCCACAATGCTGTTTACACCGAGAAAGAGGGGAAGAAAGAGCAGAAGGAGCGGTAGCAATTGCTTCACTGTTATTCCTAAAGCAAATAGAAGTAAAACAGGAAACAGGGGCAGGGTGGGAGGTGGACAAAAAGCCAGGAAGGACTGTGGTTTATGGGAAAGAAACCACAACACAGGTGTTAAACCTGATTGGGGCAGGATGAGGGGAGAAGTATTTTAAACAAGCCTTTTCATTGCAAATGAAAACTCAGGGTGTAATAGTAAAAAGAAAAGGAGGACTTGTGGTACCTTAGAGACTAACCAATTTATTTGAGTATAAGCTTTCGTGAGCTACAGCAAGTGAGCTGTAGCTCACGAAAGCTTATGCTCAAATAAATTGGTTAGTCTCTAAGGTGCCACCAGTACTCCTTTTCTTTTGCGAATACAGACTAACACGGCTGTTACTCTGAAACCGGTGTAATAGTACATACTCATTCTTTGCCCTTTGATAGTCACCTTCAAATAGATCTTTCGCCCTTACTCCCATTAGTATTCCCTTAAGTGAGACTCAATGGAACCCAAAGACTATCCCTCCTTATGTTCATAGATTTGTAGATTTCAAGGCCAAAGGGGACCATTCTGTTATCTAGTCTAACCTCCTGCATAGCACAGGCCAGAGAACCTCATCCAGTAAAATTCCTGCATCAAGCCCAATAACTTGTGGTTGAACTAGCCTCTAGAAAAGCAGATGTAGAATTGCAAGTGATGGAGAATCCCCCACACCTTTGGGGAAGCCATTGCAATAGTTAATTATCCTGCCTGTTAAAAAGTTGCTCTTTGTTTCCAGTTTGAATTTCTCTAGCTTCATCTTCCAGCCACTGGCTCTTGTTATGCCTTTGTCCTCCGGATGAAAGGGCCCTCACATATAGAGTCATCCTAGGTCAGACACTCACCTAAAAATCTCCCCCTTTTTGAAGCATCTTCAACCATTATTCTGTGCTGCAAGCCTCATTCTCCCAAATAAATGAGCAGCAGACTGCAAAGGTAAAACTTGATTGAGCAATTTTCTGTTCATTCAGTGTTTCAATGGGTGGATGCTTTCCCTCCATGAGGGACTGACCTTGAAATGAATTTAAGATGCTCTTAAGAGTTTGCTGTGCCTAAACTTTTCTCTGCATTAAGTACAGCCCCTGGCTAATGTCATGTCAGAATGGGAAATGCCTTCAGGAAACGGGTGTAGCTTTATCTTCATGGGGAATATAGTTCAACCAGTTCCACTCTCAACTTCAGATGCTTCTGACTAGCGGTACACTGGGGAGAGCAGGGGTAATTGGTAATATACTAGCTTTGGTTATGTGAATGATATCAGCCTCTACTGGACAGCCCACAGGGAAGATAAAGGACCTACTACTACTTTCCACTTGGGGAGCTCTTCCAGTTTAAGTGGGTAGAGGCTATTGTTTCGGGACCAGGATGTTAAGGAGTGGGGCATAGGTGGTCTGGCCTAGTGGCCAGAGCAGGAGTCAAGTCTAGTGGGCAGAGCAGGTGTCCAGCTGGGGAATGGAATCGAGGGTCAGCACCAGAGCCAACTGCTGATTACCAGAGTCAGAGCCAGGAATTGAAGCTGAGGGTTGGATACCAAATGCCAAAGCCAGGACTGATATGGCTGGAAGTGAGGTGTAAGGGCAGGAACTGGAAGAGAGACAAGGATCAGGCATGGAGCAGGAGCATGGTGGGAACCAGGAGCAAAGACCCTGGTGAGGCAGGAGAGGATTAGGAATCAGGAAGAGAGTTGGGTGAAGGCACAATCAGGGACCAATGCAGCAGCAGCAACGGGGAATCATTTAGTTGCTCAGATGAATTCCTGTGCCTCCTTCTGGCTTAAATAGCATGGGTGGACTAGTTGGTGAAGCTGGGCAATCTTCCAATCAGCACTCCCATGGGTGGTGTCTTGGCTGACGCTCACCAAGCTTCAGCAGTCATTGGGTGGAGGCCAGGATGCAACAGCTGTCTGAGAACTCCCAGGCCCGGATTTGAGAGCTGGGATGTCAGACAGGGTTCCAATCCCAGCTCCGCAGCTGGGTCTGCCTCCTGCACCACATCCGAGAGTTGACCACCACTCCAGAGCAGTTGGATATTTCTGTGACAATGAACCCCAGATATCAAACCTTCACTTGTTTCCCAAAATGTGGGCAAGCTCAGATCCTGGCTCTGGGGAACTCTGGGCATTCAGCATGGAACCCCAAATACCAGCATGCATGAACTTGGGGCATGTAGGTCCAGCTGCAGCTGGGAACTTGGCAGCTTGGGCCTATCTCTACTGATGACTTGTGTGTAACATAGGACGTAGGTTGGAATTAACTGGTGGCCTGTTGCACAGGGGGAATTTCATCTGTTAAATAATAACTTATTCCATGACTAGCCCTAATGAAACCAGTGGGACTATTCTCATACTCAGTGTAAAGGTGGCAGAATATGTCACACAGCCTGTCGCATGCTATGTATTCCCTCGGAGTGTCTAGACTCAGAAGGCGTACTGAAAAGGTTTAATTTAAATTGGTTTCTAAACCAGTTTAGTTCAAAACCCTGTATAGACACTCTAATTTTGGTTCAAAAGTGGTTTATGTCAGTTTTATTGAAACCTGTTCCTAACTGATTTAAGCTAAATCAATATAAGCCAGGTTTAGATCAGCTTAAGGGTGTCCACCCAGCCCTTTTCACTGGTTTAACTAAAACGATTTTAAATTACACCTTTACTTTGCATATAGACAGATTTTCAAAATAGCTCATTTCCCATTTAAATAGAGGGGTAACATTTTCAAAAGTGCCTAAATCCCATTTTCAAAAGCGATAGCCACTCAAAGAGCCTAAAAATCTCATTGAAAGTCAGTGGGACTTTGGCTCTGAAGTGCCTAGGTCAGAGACACTTTTGAAAATGTTTTCAGATTAGCTCAGCATCCAATATGCTGGGGTCTCCAGCAAATCCAGCCACTTAGCTAGGTGCCTAAATGAATACTGAGCTCTTTGAAAATCTAGCCCAAGTTTCCTATTGCAGGAAATGCAGCTTGAATGTAATCATGAAAGGATCCTTAGCAAATATATAATCTATTAAATTGACCAAGACTAATTCTTTACCATAGAAGACAGCCTTTCTGCACGCTGCTCAAATGCCATTCATTTTAGACCCAAAGGTACATTCCATTCCACACATATTTGGGGGTCTCCTCACACATCAGAAATAAAGGATCATGAAATGAGGTCGCTGAGTCATTTGCACTAGATGACTGTATCCCGCTGCATTCTGAGTTCCCTGCAGGAATCATAGTATGTGTCTCCCTAATTTTGGATCCTCATCACACATTGTGTCCCGCCTTAAAGGTCCCAGTGTGCTGAGGGCTGTACCTCTCCATTTAGTGGCCATAAAGGCCCTGATTCAGCAAAGTGTTTCAGCACAGGTTTAATTTTAAGCCTATGTTTAAGTTTCATTAAGTCAGTGTTGGTGAATTTTTTGATGGAGAGGGATGATTTCATGGAATCATAGAGATGGAGGGTTGGAAGGGACCACGAGAGGTTATCTAGTCCAGGACCAAGTAAACCTAGACCATCCCTGACAGATGTTTGTCTAATCTGGTCTTTAAAACCTCCAAGAACAGGGATTCTACAACCTCCCTCGGTAACCTGTTCCAGTGCTTAACTATCCTTAGAGTTAGAAAGCTTTTCCTAATATCTAACGTAAATCTCCAGTGCTGCAGATTAAGCCAGTTACTTCTTGTCCTACCTTTGGTGGACATGAGAACAGTTGATTATTGTCCTCTTTATAACAGCCCTTAACATACTTGAAAACTCTCATTAGGTCTCTGCTCAGTTTTCTTTTCTCAAGACTAAACATGCTCAGTTTTTTAATCTTTCCTCACAGGTCAGGGTTTCTAAACCTTTGATCATTTTTGTTGCTCGCCTCTGGACTCTCCCCAATTTGTCCACATCGTTCTTAAAGTGTGGCCCCAAAACTTGACACAGTACTCCAGCTGAGGCCTTGCTAGGGCTGAGTACAGCGGAACAACCCATATCTCACATATGACACTCCTGTTAATACAGCCAAGAATGATATTAGCCCTTTCTAGCAACTGCATCACACTCTCGCATCATTTTGCTGGAATATGTAGTTTGCGGAGTTGGAACTCAAATCTGCAGTGTGTTACCTCTATGAATGGCCTGGAATAGTGTTGATTTTAAGCTGTAGCTGGGGATAAAAAGCTGATTTGAGGCAGAGGGGCATATATGCCCAAAGTGTGGCCAATAAAGTCCTAAAATAGTCTCCCAGTAACCTCAGGGTGACAAGGACAAAGCTGATCAAGGGCAGGATTATACTGCTGGTAAATCCACGCTATTTATATTCACTGAGTCAGAGGCAAGAGACAAGTACAAGCAACTATTAGGGCTGTGTGCATTTCTTTTCAATTGCATTTCTTTCCAGTGCATTTTTATGTGTGTTTGGGGCACTTTGGAAAGTTGCCAGCATTCCTTTCGGTGTTTGAATGCCCTCACCGCAGAGCTTGGCTCCAAATCTAGATCTAAAGTTTGCAAGAGGCGGAGGCGGGAAGGAGGTAGAAGAGCTAATGTTCCAGTTTGGATCATGTTATAGGGACTGGGACCAAGCCACAAAGCTGAGGTCTGAACTACCCCTAGGGTGACCAGACGGCAAGTGTGAAAAATCAGGACAAAGGTTGGGGGGTGATAGGCACCTATATAAGACAAAGCCCCAAATATCAGGACTGTCCCTATAAAATCGGGACAGCTGGTTACCCTAACTACCCCCAAGATCCAAGGGGTTTTGATCTGGCATTCCTATCAGGGCAATCCTGCTGTGTTAGCTCAGAAGCCAATGGGCTTTTCAAAGGAAGGTGAGGAATACCAGGGGAACCTATCAATGAAAAGCCATTTTTCTTTCTCTCCATGAGAGGACATCCTGAGGTGACTTATTCCTGGCAGTCAAAAAATTACCCCTCATACATCTGCACAACTGTTTCATTTGCACGATCCAGCCTCCGACGGGATGGGAACCCATAAGTCCCAATCACGAGGCCCTATAAAACTTTGCATCTGTTGTAATTCACAGAGCAAGGTTCATTCTTGGACTAGTCCTTCCTGATTAGTAATATTATCACTGTGGCACCTTCCAGGCAATGATTTGTGTAGGCAGAGCTGGGTCGTTTTTATGGCCAGTTCAGAGAGTTCGGCTTATTCTGTTCTCTCTCGTGCATAGACTAGTTGGAAAGAATTTTCTCAGGCTCCCCTGCCAAGCTCAGCGTGTGTGAGCTTTGACTCCATCAGACCCTGGAGTGGGTTTACTGGGGTGAGCTCAGTGGGTTTCCAGGATGGAAGCCCAGGGCTGAAACTAGTATGTGTTGCAGGTCAGGAATGAGGAGCATCAGCAGACAGTGTGGGGGAATGAGGACTGAGGTGCATTAGCAGAGCAAGGAAAGGGGGGCAGAACTGATAGAGCAGGAAGGCGAAAGGGCGTCCACAGAGCGTGCACAGCCTGCTCACGTGATAAGCGATTACGTTACGTAGGGGGCTAAAATGCTGCTCCTCTGAAAAACATTTGGAATGGTGGTGCTCGTGCCACGCTCCGGAATTGCTGCAGAGATAATAGTGCTTTACCCAAACCCCGTTGCATTTGTACGTTTTCCCATTCCAATCATAGAGAGCTCTGTATTTAAATAGATGCTCCTCCCTTGTAATCAGGCTGTCGCCTCTTGCATCAGTCAGAAAGACCGGGACTGTTTGCTTTGGAAGGGAGGAGAGAGAATGGCAGAGAGCTATGCAAAATGAACAGGGGAGAGCAAGGCAGGCTGGTGCCCTTGTTTATGCCATCAGCGTATACAAGAACAATAAGCCACTCTGTCATTTCAGAAAGGAACACATTACAAGCAGCAAAAGGAAAATGCATTTGGAAGCAAGGTAAAAACAGACAGTGGAAGTAGCAGCCATGTGTGTATCTGTGTGTGATGTTACTGAAGCAAACAACTTAAGTTGCAAAAAAGAGACTGGACATTTAAGGTGAAATTTACCTTTGTGCACAGAAATTAGTACAAGGCACGTAAGCCCTTCAAAAGAGGGCTTAAGTGGTGCAAAGGTTTCAGGCTGGCCCTCTGCACAGGAGTGAATTTCACTGCGGGATGAATATCTTCTACAGTTACATTAGCTAGGGTAAAAATTAGGCAGGGGTATGGCTGCAGAGAACACATTACCAACTAGAGGACAGGAAGTAATCCCATCTCCTTCCCAATCATACCATTCTTCACCATGAAATGAATGTTGTGGGGTTTAATAGTTTCCTCTTTAGCATTTAGCCGTGGCCTTTGTCAGAGTAAAGATCCCAGAGCAGATGAAGAATTGGCCCCTTAAAGTTCCATAGGAGGCAGGATACAGGACTAGGTCAGCTGTTATCAATTTGTTCCAGTCTATGTGACTAGCTGAACCATTCTATTCTAATATAGTTTGGCTCTCTCCGCATTGGCTGGTCAAACCCTATAAGAAAGAAACGCTATATTTAAGCACAGTTGCTGAATTTGGTTGTACAGCCAGGATAGACAGGGTCCATGGTACTATTTAGCTAGCATGATGGTCAGGGAAAACAATCACTGGTTATGGAAACTATGAGAATCAGACCATCATCACAATAATAAATAGTGTATTCCACCCAGTGCTCTTCAGATGAGGATCTCAAAGCATTTTAGAAGGGAGGGGTTAGTATCATTGTCCCCACTTCAGAGAGGCTGGAATTGAGGCACAGAGAAGCAGAGGTCAACGTTTTCTGAAGTGCCCATTCATTTTGGAGGCCCACCTGGAAACCCCTGGGACCAGATTATCCAAAGAGCTCAGGCACCAAAATTCTGTAAGGGGCCAGCTTTTCGTAAGAGCTCAGGGCTCGGTGGCTGCTGAGCTCTTTTGAAAATTTTGACCCTAGGATGTGATTTTCATAGGCACCGAGCCATGGCAGGTCAGCATTTCTGCAAATCAACCCCAAATACTCTCAGTTTGGGCTGCCAAATGACCGAGGCCCACCAAATCAGCAGCCGCTTTTGAAAATGTGGGGCTAAGTGACTTGCCCAAAGTCAGGAAGTGAGTCAGTGGTAGACAAGAACAGAACTCAGGCTTCCCAACTCCCAGTGCCCTGCTCTAACTACTGTTTAAATGCAGCTGTAGCCAGCACAGCTGGGTTTTAGCTAGTACAGTTGCGATACCAGAGCAGACAGGAGTGGGGAAAAGGAAGCATCCATAAAGGAGAGAACAATTCAATGTGTCAGTGCTGGCAATCAGAGTGGTGTATTTTTGTATTAATTATATTCTGAAGCTCTGTAAGTATCACTGTGATTCCCAAAGTCAGCTGAAGGCAACTGAGAAAATAGAAGAAGAAATAAACAAGTAGAATCTTCTGCCTGCAGGAATTAGTTGTAGGTTAAAATAAACAAACCAAGCAGCTGTTGAAACCTCACCTCCGGTCTCAGTGTAACATTAGCAGTAATGATAGTAATGATCACAGATGTCCTTTCCCTACACCTACAAAATTACAGCCTTTAAAAGGGCTGTGTGTTTGTTTTGCTTGAGGGTTAGCTTCGTTTCTGCCACGCGTAGGAACAAGATCATCTCAAATGGAGAGAGATGAAAATATGGCCCCGTGACTGATTAATAAGGGAGCTTTTTATATAACTGGGAGGAATGGAATTAAATCAAAGACACGCCTTCTCCTGGGAAATTTACAGGCTAATATTCCCAACTGATCTCACACTGCTAAACCAGTGGGGATTTTTTTGTAAATTTCCCCAGTGTAAAGAAAGGCAGAAGAGAAAGGATAGTTAGGCCCCGACCCTCCAAATACTTGACTTTACATACGTGAGTAGTTCCATCCAAGGCACTTGGGATCCTATAGAATCTCCAGAGTGGCTTCCATTCAGCGAAGTGCTTAAGCACATACTTAGCTTTCGGCCTGTCCCATTGAAGATAATGGCAAATCTTCAATGGGTCCCAAGCACAGTGATTAAGTACTTTACTGATTAGTGCTGGTTGGCTGAATTGTGGCTGGTAAGAACTATCTTATGGAATAATGGATCAGAGAAGGCTGCAGCAAAAGCTTCTGCTCCATAGGGAATTATCATGCATCCGTCTTTAGATTTAATAGCCTTGTCAAAGCCCTAGGCCTAGTCTACACTAGGAAATGTTTGCTGGTATAGTTATACCAGTACCACTAGACCAGAAAATCCCTCCTAGTGTAGACCAAGTTTATACCAGCCAAAGAGTGCTTTTGCCACTATAATGCACCCAGTTCCCAAACAAAATTAGCTATACAGGCAAAACCATTTTTTGTCCCCAGTATAACCGTGTCTACACTAGGGCTTTTGCCAGCATAGAAATGTCATAAAAATAACCACACCCCTAGCTGACATTGCTATACTAGCAAAAGTTTTAAGTGCTGACCTGGCCCTAGAGCACGGAAGTGTTCCAGTGTGATTTGCCCTGGTGTCAATCTTGCCGGGGGTAGCCCTTTGCCCTGGTGGCTAACATTCCAATGTTAATCAGGCCTTGCAATTCCCACGTGAGATGTGCGAGCTCCAGTTTCATCCAGTTCGGACAAGCTCGCAGGCTCTTTCCCTGGTTTTGGGAATTAAACTGTTCTCTACTTTTTCAGCATTTTTATTTCAGCCAGCAAGAGGCAACCCCCATGCAGTGGTGTCAGCCCAGGGAGCAGGGGCGTGCTTTGCCTGGGATGAGTTATTCTGGCATCGCACTGAAGGCACCTGCTCACTGCTCCCAGCTGGGACAGGGACTCAGTAATTGTTATGTTTGTACGCCTGGTGGGGACAATCTTTTATTCTGATGTTTGAAGCAGAACAACATTGCCAGTCCCAGCTGGGAATGAGGATCCAGGAAACAAAACTCCTAACTTTAAAGCAGAGACAGAGTCAAGCTGTAAACCTCCCATCTGGATTTGAAACCCTCCAGAGTTCAGGGCAGGGGAGAGGTACTGAGATGTGGGGTTGGAGCCCAACTCTGCACGGAAGAGTAGAGGTCTGAGGTTAGGCAGGTCACAGAGGACTGGGCCATGGAATCTCACACTTGAAGTTGTCTACACAGGCTGCATCAATCGCATAATTTCTTCAGTGTTCTTCCACCATGTCAAATAGTCCTTCTAGCTTTAAGTGTTAAGGACATTGCGTTGCAGCACAACATCAGACAGGTCTGTAGGTGGGCTGTCTTGCTTTGGGGAGGATGTGCCATTTTCTTGTGCGTTTCTCCCAAGTTCTGACTGGGAGAGCGGCATGTCCATTTTTTAAAGGGGAGTCATTTTCCAGCTGCTGTTTATCCAAGGAATAGTTCAGCCACTATGAAGAGTGCAAGCTCCCCCCACCTACTTCACCAACACACCTCATCCCCAGCCTGGAGCAACCTCCTCTGGACTTGAGAGGAAAGTTCAGGCTCTATGGCCCAGTCAATCCTTGGTGTCTCTGCTAAGGTGGCCAGTTAGCCATCACCCCAGTTAGTTACGGGGTGATGGGTTTTTCATCAAGAGATGGTGGTAGTGTCTTGACAGCTCCATTTGAGGGGCTTCTTTCCTGTGAATGAGGGGGTTGGGGGAGAGAGAGAACAGAATATCAGGGTATTCTAAAGCAGGGATGGCTTTAAATGGGTGGCTTAAGGCATCCAACAGCCTCCCTGTAACTGCAGGGCAAGGACAGAGCTGGAAGGGCTGCTGGCATGTGTTGCTGGTGGACTTGCAGGAACAAGCAATGTCTACTCCTTTATCAAGGCAAGCAGGGCACGGTGCCCTCATTGATTTGTGCATCTTAACATTCATGAAGATGTCCATGCAAATTAGCCAGGGCTCGCTCAGCAATGGTTGTGCATCCCCCAAAATCGACCGTCACCGATGGTGCTTGCGGAGTAGAGGGGTCAGCTGTGCATGTGAGTGAAAGAGAACAAGACACACACACACTCATAGTGGCTTCTTTTCATTGCTCTCCTTGCTGTTCACCTCAACAGAGCTAGCAAACTGTAGAGGCTGGGACTTCACATCCCAGGCCATTTAAATTTTTAATGAAAGCCTCTCTCAGACACCCCCCCTACTCCCCCCACCACCAATGCAAAAGGTATCTGTCTGCCATTATCCCTAGACTGGGCTCAGAAGAACCAGGAGGGGAATCTCTCTTCATCTTTGTTTTATTTCTTCTCTCTGATCAACTCAGAGCCCCTCCCAAAGGGGGGGAAGGCATGATTATGTTTGCAGACGCTCTAGCAAAGCTTAGCTGTGTACACTTTGGTCTCTGGGTCTTATTTATTTGCTGGTACCTCACGTTTTGTTTCAGGTGATTACAGCTAACCTGGCTGAAATTTTCCCTCTGGCACTGTCCCTTATAATTGAGGGAACAGATTTGGTTCTGGAGGAAAGAAAGGGAATTATTATCCTAGCAAGAGACGGCTATAGCACCGCCAAGGGCTGGGCAACTTTCCTCTGCAAAGCTCTTTTGATGCCTTCAGTCCTGACCTGTAGCTTGCTGTTATTAGTGCAGGGCTCTCACACACACACTATTCTGCCAGTGCGCCCTGCTCTTGACCTCCAGCAGTCCCTGCGATTCCAGACCTGGCCTTTTCCTAAGAAAAGGTTGCCAACCATGCCAAATTATGCAGCGATTTTTTTTATGTGGATACACATCTGCTAGATCTAGATGGAGATTTTTTTCCCTATGCCATTGTACCACGTCAGAAAACTGTACATGATTATGGTAGAGCTTTTCTTAATGTTTGTAATGGGCACCATGTGCCCCACAGTGGATGGGGAGCATTGTGTGGAGCAGGGAGTATTATGTGGAGTGACTGGTCAAAGGGCCTGCTCCACAACCCATGGATTTCAAAAGGCTTTGGTCCTACCTGAATTTGCTGCTGTCAGAGCACGGATGATGGCAGGTCATTACGGAGATGGTGATGAGGGCACATCGGATCAGCCCATGCATGTGTCTCGTTCAAATTGCTCCTCATCTCCCCATGCCTTTTAACCTGGAACTCTCAGTACACCAGGGCACCATCGGCGCTGGTCTCAGATCTCAGATAGCCAACTCATTTGTCTTCTGTCTCCTTACAACCACCATCTTGCCCAGATTTTGAAAGATAAAGCAACGGTCATAACCATGAACATTATACTTCCTGGCGGGAAAATTGTTTCGTCATGTATTTACACTGACCCTTTTCTGGTGGCTTCTTTCTATCACTCTCTTTCTAGCTATCCATCTCTTTCTCCCTCAGCCAACTCGCCTGTCCTTCCTTTCTCTTTCCATGTGGTTCCCCCTCCCACCCAATTAAAGGCTTCTTATAAATTTAAAAGTAAACAAATGAGTTTTTAAAATAAAAACATCCATACACCACTAGCGAAGGGAAGCTGACTCTCCCAAGCTCACTGATTTGAAATTCTACAGACAGCGTCATCCCTTGGCTTGGCATAATTAGAAACAGAAGGGGCAGGGGGAGAGACTCATGCTGTCCACCGGTATGTTTCATTTGCAATTTTAATTGCTTATCAGAGAAAGAGAGGTGATGACAGCATTGGAGACCAGAATATTTATTCCCCTCGCACCCATAAAGCCTCTTCTCACTTTCATCTCCTGGGATGTTTCAAGTTATGCAGTGGGACATGTGCAGAGAGCAAAGTGCAGCTATTTGGAAGTAAGACACTCTGTTCCTGGAACCTCTGTCACATCAAAGATTTCACCTTTCCATACCTCCCCGCTCCCCCCTTTGTCTCTGCAACGTTTTTCTAGCACGAACCCTTCACGCTATAGACCAGTGTACAAAGATTTTTTGTTTCTTTTTTTTTTACAAATACAGAAAAGCAAGAATTTCCTCTTTTTTTTTTTTTTGTAACATTATCCACAAAAGTTTACAAAATAGCCTTGAAATCAAGCTCTGGGGTTATGGGATCCAATAGGCTTTTCACGGCAGAATCCAGCCGGAGTCACGAAGACGTCACTAGCCAGTTAAGAGATACAGCAGCATCCTTGTTTTCTTAGCCCAACTGTCATCTTCCCCCCCTCCCCACTCTGTTCCTTGAGGTGGTTGTGGGTGAGCGAATAAGGGGGCTGGCAGGTTTGAATCGTGGTTACCTATGGCTGTACACACAAAAAAAGTCCCAAAGGGAAAGGCCTTTGTGTATTTCTGAGACAGGGACCACCCAGATAGCAGACTAACAGCTGGGCTGCTGGGGGCTTGGTGTCATCTGTGGTTCTACAGTATGGCTGTTCTTGCTTGTGCTCTCTGCTCTGGGCATTGCCTTTCATTGTCCCTGTCTGTGCTGAAGATTCACTCAAGAACCTTTCCCCCAGTAACAGCAGGTTGTCTGTCAGAGAAACAATCTGTTTGGCCAAATATTGATCGGTGATTTGGGTGGGGCATGGGGGCAGAGGGGCACCGCAAGGCCTGGATGTTGGCCATGTCCCTCTCCACTTGCCACGCTGCTTTGTTTGTCAGTCAAGTCTTCTTTTTATTTTTGGCAAAAAATAGTTTCACGTGCCTTCTCCCCGACCCCCGAAACCGCCACCAGAACTCCACGCTCCTCCAAAGAGTCGACCTTCAAGAGTCCAGCGGCGTTGCTTGCACCTCCACGGCTAGGAGCTTCTCCCCAGGCCTCCCTTGATCCCAGTGTTTGACGAAAGGAGGGTAGACCACGCGCACCGAAGAGGAGCCTGGGTTCCATGGCAGGCAGTGCAGGAGCAGCTTCCCAGGGCTCCCAGGCTGCGGCCTGTAAGAACCAAAGCCATAGTGGCCAACCAGGATGGCTGAGAGCAGTAAGATGCAGAGGGCCAGCACTGTCAAGACACTCTGCCTGCTCTCCAGGTACCGGTAGCCATAGCCAGCCTCTTTAGTCCTGGCATTCACACAGGCCACCTTGGACTGCAAGTTTAGGAAGGCCACATGAAGGCAGGCCCAGTACTCTGTGCCCTGGTGGAGCCTGGTGATGTTATACAGGTGGGTGCCCGCAGGGATCCTGGCCACGTTGGTCACATCCAAACTGGAGCTGAAGGAGAAGCTGGACCAGGTGAGATTGGAGGAGACCGTGTTGAGGTGGGGCTTCCAGGTGACAAGGATATGGTAAGCCTGGACTTCCTTCACCAGGAGCTCCAGGTTGTCCACGCTGAGAGGGAAGGAGCTGTTGACCATCAGGCTGACACTCTTGGTGTCGGCACCGATGAGGTTATGGGCCACGCAGGTATAGAGCCCGGCCTCCTGTGCAGTTATCTTGTGAATTTCCAGTGTCCCTTCAGGGTGCACCTTGTACCTGCTGTCCTCCAAGTAAGGGATCAGCTTGACCCCAGATGGTGTGACCCAGTAGATCTCTGGTTCTGGTTCCGCCAGGGCCCTACAATGTAGTGAGATGTTCTCACTGTCTGCCGCCTCCAAGTGGGAGGGGAAACTCTTGGTGGAGATGAGAGGCAGGCACCGGTCAGTCATTTCCCGGAAGGGGACATCCCGGATGTGCCTCCTCTTCAGGTCTGGGGGATCAGCGCACAGTGTGGACTGGGGCTCAATGAAGCGGATATGGTTCTCAGTGCTGTTGACCCAGCGGATGATGCAGTCACAGCGGATAGGGTTGCTGTGGATGCTGATCTCCTGTAGGTTGGGCAGGGACTCTACCGTCTGCTTATGCAAGGCACTTAAGGCGTTGTTGTTGAGCATCAGGGTCTCCATTTGGGGCAGGTGATGGAAAGCTCTGGGGTGGATGAAAGACAGCTTGGGATTGTTGGTCACGTCCAGTTTGGTCAGCTCGGGGAGGTTGATCAAGGCAAACTTGTCTATGGAAACCAGCTCCTCCATGTTGTTAAGTCCCAGCTCCTTGAGGTGTAGCATATTTGTGAAGTCACTTTGCCTGATCCTCTGCAAAGGGTTTTTGTTCAGATCCAGGAACTTAAGGCCAGGGACTTGCTGCAGTGCCCGCTTGGGAACATTCACCAGCTTGTTGTCGTAGAAAGACAGACTCTCCAGGCTTCTCAGCCCTTCCAGGGCAAAATCTGAAATCTCCCTCAGGTTCATCCCAGCCAGAACCAAGCTCCTCAGGTTTAACAGAGGCCTGAAGTTCATATCCAAAATAGCATCCACCTTGTTGCCTCCGATCATGAGGATCTCCAGGTTGGGGAGCACCTGGAACCAGCGGCTGTCAACTGTCCTCAAGAGATTAGAGTTGAGGTGGAGTCGAAGGAGGTTACTGAGGCCTGAAAAGGCCCGTGGGGAAATCCTACGCAGCTGGTTGTGGTTCAGATACAGCTCCTGGAGATTGGCCAGGCCAGAGAAGCTGTTATCGGACAACTCGGCCAGCTGGTTCTCTTCAAGGTGGAGGCTCAGCATCTGGGGCATGTTCTTCAGACTGAAGTCCCAGATGTCGGAGAAGCTGTTCTGCGACAGGTCGAGCTCTGTCAAGTTTTTCAGATAGTCCAGCTCATTCTGGTCCACCCTGGCGATGCGGTTGCTTTGCAAAAGCAGGGTCTGTGTCCCCTCTGGCAAGCGCTCGGGCACTGTGGAGATGAGCAAGTCATTGCAGTCCACGGTAGCGGCCTCCCTGTACACAGACCTGGGTGTGTACCAGGGTCTGATCTGACACACACACTGCAGTGGGCATTTCACCTTCCAGGGCACTATGGGGACGGCTGTGGCAGTTGCCACACAGATGAGAAGCAAGTTCATTTGAAAGTGTCTCATTTTCAACTGGCAAGACCAATTTCCTTCCAGGGCAAAAACTTTCACAGGGCACATCCAGAACTTGGCACGGGGAGAGATAGAGGTGGAAATAGGACCGCCCCCCACACAGAAAACCCCTGCCCCAAGCCTCTTCCACCATTCACGGGTGTTCCCAGCAGCGTTATTGTTCCTGTTGAAGGCTGTACAGCTCGGCCTTCCCTGTAGAAGAGGTCATAATGTGCTGGGTGGAGCTTGCTCCTTTAATCGGAATTTCTCCTTTTCTTCCTCCCAAGGTGATTTATTTTTTCACTCTGCTGCATTTTTGAGGTTTCCTCTCAAAGTCGTTCCTGAAAGAGCCCAAGGAACAGGTCACATTAGAGGAGAACTGCACAAGTGGCAAACAAAGCAAGACAGAGCAATATAGATTAATCCAGCACCAGCAGTAATGAGAGGAGTGTTGGTCTTGTGGTCAGGAGCTCTGGCTTCAGCTACAGACTCCTTTTGTGACAAGTTATTTAATCGCTCTGTGCCTTACCAGCTATAAAATGGGGCTGATAATATTTCCTTTCTCCCATCCTTTGTCTGTCTATTTAGGTTGTGAACTCCCTGGGGCAGGGATTGTCTCTTACTGTCTGAATGTACAGCACCTTGCACAACGGGGCCGTGCTCTCAGAGGCCTCTAGATTCTACTGTAATATAAATAACAATAACCCATTTCTTTATCTGGCTTAATTGAAAACTAGGGAGAGGTCAAACCAAGACCTTGGAACCCAGCATCCTCTGGTCTTCCAGATCCTGTTCCAGACTTGGTGCCTGACCCCCAGAATGAACCAAGCCTCTGGATCTCCATGCCTCCTGAACTTTGTGAACCTTTAAACCTAGCTGTGAATGTTCCCATCCCGGGCCCATCTCTGCGCAAAACTAAGGGATTAAAATGAAGCCAAGGGATCTCAGAATCAGTGTCTCCAATTAGGGCAAATTGTGAGTGTGTTATATTAGTAAAATAATCCAAGAATTTTGGAAGGGATATTAACCCGCAAGCTTCAAGGCATAAACCATCTAATGGGGCAGGAATTAACATCCCCTGCGCGCTAGTTATCCCATCATCCTAAAGGATTTCTGGCATTTTTCTCTGAAGCAGCTGGTACTGGCTACTGCCAGAGACAAGATATTGGGCTAGATAGGCCCTGGGTCTGATCCAGTCTGGCAATCCCTATGTGTGGCACAGTTCGTGCAGGTTTTTACAAGGGGTTGAAAGAATCAATGTGTCTGTGGTGGTATTCAATGATCACTCCATGCTTAAGGTGTTTGCAAAAGCTCTGCTTTACTCTGTGCCCAGTACCAGCCGGCTGTGCATAACAAGAGCTGCCCAGCGCCCTGCCCAGACCCTGTCTGGGAAGCTCAGCCCTTAAAGGCACAGTCCCTAATACCACAGCTGAGGAATAAGCTGGGAGTCACATGAAAGCGATAGGTGACCACAGAGATGGAGTCAGGTATTGGGGAGCCACACAGGGAAGAAGGCCAATGGCATTTTGGGATGTATACGTAGGGGCATTGCCAGCAGATCGAGGGACGTGATCGTTCCCCTCTATTCAACATCGGTGAGGCCTCATCTGGAGTACTGTGTCCAGTTTTGGGCCCCACACTACGAGAAGGATGTGGAAAAATTGGAAAACGTCCAGCGGAGGGCAACAAAAATGATTAGGGGACTGGAACACATGACTTATGAGGAGAGGCTGAGGGAACTGGGATTGTTTAGTCTGCGGAAGAGAAGAATGAGGGGGGATTTGATAGCTGCTTTCAACTACCTGAAAGAGGGTTCCAAAGAGGATGGCTCTAGACTGTTCTCAGTGGTAGCTGATGACAGAACAAGGAGTAATGATCTCAAGTTGCAGTGGGGCAGGTTTAGGTTGGATATTAGGAAAAGCTTTTTCACTAGGAGGGTGATGAAACACTGGAATGTGTTACCTAGGGAGGTGGTGAAATCTCCTTCCTTAGAAGTTTTTAAGGTCAGGCTTGACAAAGCCCTGGCTGGGATGATTTAGTTGGGGATTGGTCCTGCTTTGAGCAGGGGGTTGGACTAGATGACCTCCTGAGGTCCCTTCCAACCCTGATATTCTATGATTCTATGAGGGACTGAATTCTTGATCACAGCAAAAAAGTCTACTGGCATGAAACCAAAGGTAGAAGAATCTCCACAGAGAGTGATCAAGAGATTCCTTTGTTCATTCTCTCTCCCTGTAGGGAAAAAATCGGAAGCCTAAATATTATCACAGCAGTCACCTCTTTTGCGAGGGGGAAGATTAGGGTATATGCCTCCAATGTACACAAACTTTTCAGAGTACAGGCTGCAGGCAAACCTTCAGATACTCCATTAGAAGAATGCAACTAATGTGGAGGGTAGCGCCAGGGACATTTTAATCAAACACTCCTCCTGGTGCAGAGAGACATATTTTCCTTTGAAAAGTCTTGTTTCCCATCAACTACCCACCCGCATCTCTACAGCACTGCTGTGATTATTCTTGGGCTCCCTAAGGCTCTCCCATGGAAAGGGAGAATGTGGGTGAGCCACGTTGTGATGGTGGATTGCCATGAAAGAGTCAATGTTTGCTATCGGTTACGGGGCAGTGGTGGTCTACGACACGCCAACTATTTCCTGTTCTAAATATCCTGGGGAAATGGGGGTGAATCTAGGACCTTAAAATCTAAGAGTCTCAACCACTGGAGCTAAAATGCCAAGCCTGTGAGCTGGAAGCAGCAGTAGCTCTTCGATCTCTTGTGTGGAATAGCCAGAGCCCAAAGGCCCATACTCTTAGTGCAGGTCGCACATGGAGTTCTGCTGTCTTTGCCTTTGAAGATGCATCCCCAGAACAGATCTTCTGGGGCAAAGCCTTGGTGCTCCGGGCTCTCTCTCTGGTCCCCAGACAATGTTCTTTACTCACAGCCAAGAGGAAGGAATGCTCCACCCAACGCTGACAGAGTGAGTCTGCTGTGAGCACAGAGGCCAAGACGGCACTGGAGCTGGGGTTTGACCCATGTTCTCCTGTCTCTTTGGCCTGCAGGTTTCCATCAAGACCTGGTTTGGGTTTGGTGGACCCTGGCACCACCTCCTCTTGCTCACAGGACGGGGTTTGTTTGGACCCTCTGCAGTGCTGCCAAGTCTTGCGATGTTTGGTGGTTTTGTTAAAGCCCCAGCTCGCTTGTAATGAATACATTATTGAGGCTGCTGGACACAGACCGACTCTGTGACTCTCTCTGGCTCCCCAATCTATACACAGAACCATGCTATGTGTTCCCAATACCAAACAGGGGAACGGCATCTGGTGGTGCCAGGAACCTCATGCCAGTGGCAGTCTTTTCTGAAGGCATCGTCTGTGCAGGGTGAGATATCTTGGGCTTTGGGTTTGGAGGAGATTTTTGCCCATGTCATCTGTCAGCTTCACCTCCCCAACTGATGTGCCGTTCGCTCGGTAAGACAGAGTTCATTAGCGCCTCGGAGGTGCAGCTCTGAGCCAGATGGATTTTTACAAGCTGCTGTCCCTGACAGCCTGCCAGAGCCTCACTCCGCTCCTGCAGTCTGTTTACAGGGAGGTTGGGTCCAGGGCCCAAGTGGAGACAGGTATGTCAGTGAGTATTGAGCAGTATGGCATGACAGGGAATGGGGAAGATGAGCAGTAGGAGGGTTGGCAGGGACTAGCCCTGTTCTCACAGTGCTCTCCACAGCTCTTCTAGCAGATGGGAAAGGGAAAGCCAGAGGAGAGAAGCAGAAAAGGGGAATGAGAGAAGGGAGGATGATCTGGTGGCTAAGGGTTCGTCTACACAGCAAAAATAAAACAAACCAAGGCAGCAAGTCTCAGAGCAGGGTCAACTGACCCGGGCTTGTGCTACGGGACTGAAAATAGCCATGTAAACATTCCTGCTGGGCTGGAGCCCAGGCTCTGAAACCCAATGATGGGGGACGGTCTTGGAGCGTGGGATCCAGGCTGAACATCTACACTGCCATTGTTAGCCCTGCTGCATGAGCCTGCTGGGCTCTGAGACTCACTGCCAAGGGTCTTTTTGCTGTGTAGATGTACCCCAAGGCACAGAGCTGGGGCTGGGGAGATCTGCATTCAGTTCCCAGCAGCCACAGACTCCCTTCCCCAGACACTGGGCAAATTCTTTCCCTTCTTTATCACTGTGAAATGGGGTAATGATTCTTCCCTCCCATGTGAGGATGCTGTGAGGATAAATCTAACATCTGGGAGGCGTTCAGATATGACAGTAATGGGGTCACCTAAGTACCAAGATAAAGGAAAAAGAGATTCATAGAAATAGTAAATTCAAAATGCTTTGAGGTCCTAGGATGAAAGGTGCAAAATATCGTTACATGGTAGAATTGTTCCTACAGCCGGGATGTCCAGATCGCATTCTGTACAGGATGCTGACTCCAACCTGAGACCATGTTACAAACCTAGAGCTAGGTACCTTTCTGGGAGGGCCACCTAACCTTCCACCAGTTTTGGTGTCCCCTGCAAACTGGGTCACGGTTGGATTTACACCCAAGAAAAACCCCAAACAGAGAAAGTAGGGTGAAGAGAGGGGTTTGCACTTTTGAGTCAAGTTGCTCAAAGAAACATGGGAACCGTTGAGTGTCCTGCACCAGCCTACAGCAACCCAGTGGAGGGGTAGCAGCTCCATTGCATATCAGTGCTTCACAGGCTCCAGTTTGAGAAGCATTAGTCTGTAAGGAGCTTGCATCTGACCGTTCCCACACTACAGGGAATTGAACTTTCCTCTGCAATAGGTGGGACAGCCAAACCGGGCATTCTTCTGCACCACCAGCCTTTCATTGTTTCCTTAGCCGGCGGGAGTGTGACAGCTGCATATGCCCTGCGAATCCTTAGAGGGTGAGACCTCACAGCCTTTCTATTCCCCGTTTCCTGGGGCCTGGACTCTCCACTTGGTTATTTAGGCTACTCACTCCTTGCCATTGATTTTCCTGCAGGTAGCTGCTGTGGGAATGGAGAGCTCTGGCTGTGAGCCAGTGGCTACAGCAGGACTCTGTACTATTCTTTGTCAGAGTATTAACGTACTAAGAGAGTAGGTGAGATATGACTGCGGCGATGCCTGACAGACACAAACACTAGAAAGAATAAAGGGAAGACAGTGTCCGAGTAGCAGAGACATTCCAGGTTCCTGACCTCTTCTTCTAAGGGGCTCAGGTGTTCATGCAAGCAGATGACAAGGGATTCGACTATATTTTCAACTCCTATTATTTCCCCCAGTTATCAGGTACTACAGTGATGAGCAGTGTATAGAAACCTTTGTAGAACAAACTAGTACGTTCCTATCAAATACACCGTGC